CAAAGATAATAATGCTGATATTAGTAAAAACGGGCACTTTGGATGCGCCAGGGACTTTCCTACACAGTATCTCTACCCGCTAAGGAACTTGCAAGTAGGCCATCTAACCCTAAGGGTTCCAAGATGAGGAAGCTAAGGTCGGCCACAGGCTGACTGGCTTGATCAAGAACACACAGACAGCGGTGCCAGAACCAGAAGAGACCCACCCAGGTCTATCTGGCTCCACAGCCAGTGCTCCAGTCACTAACCCAAGGCTGTTGTAAAATACAAGCTGGAGAATGATTTTTAAAAGTTACATGGGTGTATATGAGGGGATGAGAAAGAGGGGAGTGGATACCAAAACAGAAGAAAAAGAAAAAAGAGCTGAGGTGAAAAGCCTGACAGATGAATAAAAAGAAAGGGGATTAACAAAACAGTTCAAGGTTAGTATATTCTAACATTCTGTTATGGGAGGCTGTGTGTCTGGACACAAAAATTGAAGTAACTAGGTGAGGAAGGATTTTTGAAAACTGTACTTTGATGCTTATTCTTATACTACCCATGGTGTAATTACCACAGAAAGACTGGGAGGTGACTAGGTACAACCACAAACCATGTTACATTATAAAATGAAGGCATCAATTTCCTCTAGCCTTCACCTCAGAAACTGGACAACTCTTAAATATAAGTCACAGCACTGCAGTTCTATTTAAAACCAAATCTTCTCTCACAAGACATTAGTGGGAATGAGCTAATGAAACTACAGAGTATCCTTTTGAAGGACCGTTTGCCATATAAAACTAAAATTTTAGTGACGAAGTTTTATTGTATAATGAGGAAGTTCTGAGAAAATCAAGAGAAAAAAGCCAAAGCGGCATATGAAATTCTGGGCTATCTGCCAGATTCATTATCTGTTGTTTCCTTTAAAAAAAAAATTAGCAGTGATTTACCAAACAATACAAAAGACAAAATAAGGCAATAATATTCCAAAGACATTTTTTCTCAATTTAGCGTTTCCTTCTTTTCATCACCATATCCATCATCATTACTTATGTACTTTCCCATAAACAGAGATAAAAATAAAAATACACAACACTGCCATTCTGATAACACCAGGGCCTTGACCAAGCATTCCAGAGCTGGATCCCTAAGTCAGGCAGCCCTGAATCCGCCCCTCCCTTGCCCACCCCAGTGACCACAGATGAAAACCACTCAAGGTCTCTGCAAGTTCTGAGCCTTCCAACCTCTAGAGTTAAAGGCGTCACGAGGGGCCCTGCAGGCCCTGGAGTCAGGAACACTCCTGAGGGGACACAGCTTTCTTACACAACATGCTGCCAATACATCTCCAAAAAGTTCAAAGTACTTACAGAATTAATTTCATTGAGTGAAGGAAACATCCTGACTCCAGCTGTCAAACTGGGATCTGATAGTTTCCTCACACAAGGAAACCAATTTTGTTCTGGTGTTTGCCCTCCAAGATAGTGTGAAAGAGAACAAGGACCAAGTAGAAACTGGATTGCAGGATTGAGATTTTGAATAAAACATTTTCACCGTTCAGTACTTCTTTTGGTCACTAAGGCTCACTGCCATCTAATGACTTGCTATAATCACAATCATATAGACAGCTCGGTTTCTTTTAAGAACCTACAGGCTAAACAAGGTAAAATGTTAAGAACTTAACGAATTCTCCTTTTCTTTCTACTGTTACCTAAATATAAGTGAGGCCTCTGCCTCACTGAACTCAGCATCTTTCAAACTTGTAATCCATTCCAAACCCCAATCTCCATGTTAAACTGAGTTAAACATTAAAAAAAAAAAAACAAACCCACAAACTTTTCTTCTATGAATGAGCTTTCCAACTTGCTTAATCTCCTCCAAGACATCTGCTTTCTGATGAAACCCAGAAACCGCCAATTCTTATTCACTGTGTGGTCTTAAAAGAGCCACATGCATCGATTCCTCTTGCAATATGGTCTCCAAATTTGGGTAAAGTTTTCTTGGAGCTATTTGACATAGTGTTCTATAAAAATGATCCAAGAGATGACACATTTTAAAGCTCTCTACCTCATTTACTGAAACATGTCCAAGGATAAAACTCATACAAACAAACAAACAAAAAAATTGCTTCTTTTTTTTTTTTTAAAGATTTGGGAATGAAATTTAGAGTTGTCCTAATAATACAACTAGCCTCTGCTGCCATCTAAAGGTAAAAACTATGAAGTGAGATCAAGCGTTATCAAGAAAGCCGAAATTAACTTGCAGCATCAATGGTGTAGAAACAATGGGAACCCAATAACTTCCAGGCAGCTGAGCCTGCCAATGACCATTCCAAGTCATGTTGTCTTTACAAACAGGTATCAGTATAGCTCACCAGAAACAGGACCCATCAATACTGTCTTCAATATCGATTAGTTTATTGGACAGATTTCAGTTCTGAATAACCTGTGGTGCTCATTCCACATTCCTAGACAATCTCAGTCAGGAGATTTTGAGATGGGATCTGGGCATCTGCAGTGCTTTAAAAGCCCCACAGGTGGTTCTGATGAGCATCTAGGACCACTGGGCCATGAAACACTGGCCTTCTACAGTACGAAACCTCCCACACCCAAGCAGATAAGAGTTCTAGGTAGAAAGAAACCTTAAAGCTTGTATCTAAATGAGATTCAACTATGGCAGTGTTTATCAAAGTATATCAGGCTGACCACCCTGCATCAGATAAATCACCTCGAGAGTTTATTAAAAATGTGGATTCCGGGGTACATTCATAGACATTTAAATGAATTATAGTTCCCAGAGGTAAGGCCCAAGAATCCACAATTTAAGTCGAATCCCAACACAGATTTCTGTACACTAAACAGGGCAACCAATCTAAATCTTGACAAAGTTAAAGGACATCACTGAAACCTATTTTGTAAAGGCTATTATCAATGCTGTAAATGCTGTGGTTATAAGGTCAGCTGACTTACTCATGGTTTGCACAATATGTTTATATTATCAGAAATGTCCTGATCTCTTAAGTATTTCTTTCCTTTTTTATCCTTTAATATAACTTAGGTGTGTTTTTTAAATTACATACTTATTAATTACAGAAATTAATTATATCTGCATATATATATATATATAAGACATTTCTTATATCTTACAGAAGATATAAGAAATATAAAAAACACTCTAACTCCACTAACCAGAGTTAACTGCTGATTTGTTGTTGTCCAGTCACTAAGTTGTGTCTCACCCTTTGCGACCCCAGGGACTGAAGCATGCCAGGCTTCCCTGTCCTTCCCTATCTCCTGGAGTTTGCTCAGACTAATGTCCATTGAGTCAGTGATGCCATCCAACCATCTCATCCTCTGTCATCCCCTTCTCCTATTGCCCCCAATCTTTCCCAGCATCACTGTCATTTTCAATGAGTTGGCTCTTCGCATCAGGTGGCCAAAGTACTGGAGCTTCAGCTTCAGCATCAGTCCTCCCAATAAATATTCAGGGTTGATTTCCTTTAGGATTGGCTGGTTTGATCTCCCCACTGGTGTATTTTCTCCTAGTATTTTCTCTTCAAATATACACAGTTAAAGCGTGTATAGAGTTTTAAAGTCTGCTTTTAACATTTCAAGTAAACACTCTCCTATATCTTCAAAATCATCATTATTTAAAGACAGCATAATATTTTCATGTGATTACAGTGTAATTCATTTACTCTATACTGATTATTACAGTCTTAAATTATGTCCGTTTTTCATTGTTACAAATAATGCTAAAACAAAGAGCCTCGCCTGCATCTGTGATTATTTCCCAGGACTGGTATCAGAGCATCACTATTTCAGGTGCTGTGCTTGCATGCTGCACTTAGTCTCCCAGTCGTGTCCCACTCTTTGTGACCCCATGGCCGGTAGCCCACCAGGCTCCTCTGTCCATGGCGATTCTACAGGCAAGATACTGGAGTGGGTTGCCAAGCTTAGGATTAAGCATTTAAAAATGTTAGTAAGAACACCAAAGCCTAACAACTCTCCTCGTGCCTAGGCATAGAGAAGGCTGTACCAAAAGAAAGCATATTCCTCATATAGTTTATTTTTTATTGAAGGATTCACATTTTCTAGCCAAGTCTGTGTAGTATTTATTTGAAAACCTAAATGTGGTTGCTATTAATAGTTAGGGGACATTTAAAATGTGAATGTTTACATAAAGAGACCATGGGACTTTACTGTACTTTTATCAGTATAGTAAAAATGTGTAAACAGATTTCTATAGAATAAAAAACAACACAAAAAGGGTTTCCATAAGAACACTATTTGAAATCTATGATGAAACCTACAATGCATTTTTAAAGGATTTCTATTTTTGAGGTCACAGCAAGGGAAGAACGATGCAACAAAATGGGGGAAGTTGTCTTCATCATCGTCATCATTGTGGGTTATAATGGGAGAACTACAGTTACCTGAGACCTTTTTCCCATCTCTTTACCAACACGTATTCTTAATCAAGAATATTTTTCCTAAATAGATAAGAGTATATTTCTAAGCAAATATGAACTAAATCAAGTCTTTACCTTTTCACNTCCAGCACTGGAGGCAGACACTTTACCCTCTGAGCCACCAGGGAAGCCCCTAGTCTTTGGAGGCCCAAGACAAATGTTACTTTCTCAATGAAGCTCTCTTAGATCCCTCAGTTGAAATTCACCTTTTTCTGGAAATCTCATTAAACTCTGAGATGAATTTGGGACACTTCTCTTGTTTATCTCCCACTATACCACGATTGCTATAAAGCAAGAAACATAACCTATTTATCTCTGTATATAACATTATCTACACTTGAGGGTCTTGAACACAGCACACACTTAACTTATGTTGGTGACCTGTTTAACTGAATTTTTTTTCCTCAACATGACAATCCTTAATCTGATATGGTCCTAGAACCTAGTGTTTTCAAAAAAGCCAAAATCTCCAATCTGACTCTATGTGCTGAACAAAGTCTGCTTCTCTACCAACTGTACTATTAACTACCTCTGTTTTTCTGTTTAATTCAAGATCAAGGAGGTATGCAAGCAGAGAATTCCAACACGGATCCCTAAACCAAAATCTACAGGCATCACTAAGCCTTCCCCTAAAGCTCCCCCAGGGCCTATGGATAAGACTGGCTGTGGGAAGCTACACATCATAAGGACTGTCACCTCTAACACTTTCCTCCACATGGGAGGGAAAAGGTAAGTCATGCCAATGCAGTGCCTGGATACATTCATGACAGAAATATCTGGGAAGCTGGAGTTATTAGCATGGAAGGAAAAAGATGAAGGGCCACCTCTCCAGGAAATGGAGAAGCAGCAGACAGACAGACGGTTCATTCACAGGTTGCTGGGCCAAGTGAATACCATCCTGAAGGAGCAGCACAACTACAACTCTTTTACCTATGTGTGTACATGCATACACACATACACAAAATCTCAGACCCAGACACACACCCCAAATCCTCCCAACTCGTCAGCCTTCTTATAATGCAGCCCAAAGCTGGACATTAGCCCAAAACAGGACTGGATTTGTTGGAATGGTCTGAAAATTTTCTGGCGAACCCGGAAGTAATTCTTCATTCCACAGAACTTTGCTAAGAATATGTGGTAGCAAGAATTCCTACTCTGCTTCAAGAAAGTCAGATTATCTTCATCAAAATGGCAAGCTGATTAAATCATACTTTAAGGTCTAAAAATATGACTTCTTTTGACCGAGGAGGAGGAAAAAAAGTGGTTCCTCTTAGTTACAAGAAGGAAAGGAACAACAAAAATGAGTAACAGCCAAACACGCCCCTTTTGTGGCCTACCTGGTAACTGCTGGGGTAGTGTGTACACTTGGCTGCCGGCACTTAGTCTTCTGTCCTTCTTTTCCTAGTAAGTTTCCCCCCCTGTATATACCAGGCCATGGAATCTCACTGCTAGGCTTGTAAAGCAAACCATTTTAGACTGACATCTCTACTTCCTAGAGTAATCAGGACATCTGAGAGTCAAAGGTCACTAATTCTGTGATCTTTTAGGGAGATAGGAATCACTGTCTTGGATGTTTTAAAAAAAATTTTATCATCTCATATGACATTTTTAAATTACATCTGAATCAACACTATAGAAAAATCACTTGATCCAACAAAAGCTTGTGATCAGGAGACTCAAGTTCCAATTCAAATTTTTCACTCATTTGACACAGAGCTTGGCATTCATTAAACTAGGCCCTGAGTTTCCAGAATGTAAAAACAGAAAAGCTAAATAATTCCCCTGGTTCCTTCAAGTTCTGATCATCCATGACTACGTCCAACTACAGAATACTGAATTCAACCAATCATCTATGAGGCAGAGCTTAGGTTCCTGGCAGTAAACTAGTTATTTTCTTCCCACTAAAAACTCACTGAGTCTAGAGAAAGGTGTATCTGTAATTTAATGTGGGCAGAGTGACACAATGATGTTTTAAGACAAACTAGGTATTTTTGACATGGGACACAGTTATATCTCACAAAGCTTCAGTCAAAAAGTAAATAAATAAATCCTAGAAGAGCATGACCCAAGGTTTTCTGCGCTTTGGCACCCAGAACTGGAGGCGCGACCCTGGGAGGAGCCCTCGGGGTCAAGGACAGCGCTCTAGCTCACTGCCCTGGGGCGCAGTCGCGGAGCGGCAGCGCAGGGCCGTTCCCGCCCTCGCCAGCCAAGCCCGCCCCGCGCACTGAGGCCAGCACACAGGTGCCCCTGGGGCCCGCGGCGGTTGCAGGGGAGAGGAGACGGGGCCGAGAGCCTGGGCGGCGCGGAGCCAGGCGAGTTAGAAAGAGGCATGACAGGCAGCGGGCAAGTGGCATAGGGGAGGGGAGGGGGGTTAACTGGATTAAAAACACCAGTGGGAAAGTCTAAGTTAAAGGAAAGCAGTAAGAGAACAATGGAAGGAATGGACTACAAAAGACGATCACCCTCTGACATGACAACAATATGAGACAGTTCAGAAGGAAGTACACGGCAGTAACAGGAAGATGGTGAAGTGGGAAAAAGTGGAGGGTGCTTATGACTGTGCCTGATATTAGCAGATAACATTCAGCAAACAGAGAATGAGTGAATGAGGGACAGAAAAGCCAGTCAGTCAAGAATTAAGTGAGAAAATGTGCTAAGAGATGGCAAATGGTACATGACAGTGTCAGGAAAAGCGGTTATGCTGCATAACATTCAACACTGATAATTATGCTAATACAAAGAGGAAACACTGAACCTCGTAGGGTGGAACCCAAAGAAACTGGAAAGAAGCATGAAACAAAACAGGAAACACAAGCACCAACAGTACTCACAGAAAAACACAACACCCTGGGAATATTTCACCTTGAGGATGAGCACGCAGGCAGCAGAAATCCATCTTTAAATGGATTTTATTTTCTTGGACTCCGAAATCACTGTGGACAGTTACTGCAGCCATGAAATTAAAAGACACTTGCTCCCTAGAAGAAAAGCTATAACAAACCTAGGCAGCAAATTAAAAACAGAGACATTACTTTGCCAATAAACGTCTGTATAGTCAAAGTTATGATTTTTCCAGTAGTCATGTATGGATGTGAGAGTTGGACCATAACGAAGGCTGAATGCCAAAGAATGGATGCTTTTGAGCTGTAGTGTTAGAAAAGACTCTTGAGAGTCCCTTGGACTTCAAGGAGATCAAACCAGTCAATCCTAAAGGGAATCAGTCCTGAATATTCACTGGAAGGACTGATGCCGAAACTAAAGCTCCAATACTTTGACCACCTGATGCGAAGAACTGATTCACTGGAAAAGATCCTGATACTGTGGAAGACTGAAGGCAGGAGGAAAAGGGGCCAACAGAGGACGACATGGTTGGATGGCATCACTGACTCAATGAACATGAGCTTGAGCAAGCTCCGGGAGTTGGTGATGGACAGGGTAGCCTGGCGTGCTGCAGTCCATGGGGTCGAAAAGAGTTGGACACGCTAAGTGACTGAACTGAACTGAATACTATTTAGACAGGTCTTTAAAATAACAAAATCTATTCTAACAAAAGGATTACCAGCCAAAAACTATACTTCTTATTTTAAAGCAATATGTAATACAGTAACAATGCACGAATAACTTACAACCAGGGTAAGTTCAACAAATGGTGTTTGACCTGTAACACAACCAAAATATAAAGAATTCTGCCTCCTGAGCATAATCCTGTTTCTGCAGAAATATGGTCCTTCTAAAAATAAAAATAAAAGAAGCTATCCTAATAATTTTAGAGTGTTTTCACTAGGTTAAACTTTTAAAAACAGATAAAAATACAAGTGAACAAAGATACATTCAAATTGTGAAAAAAAGTTTAATGACCTGATATTTGTATGCTGGAGTCTTTCCTCAGCTCTTCATTTATTTAACTTCAAAGATTTCTGAACTGATCTCCTTATAACTTTTTAGAATCAAGTGTCTGATTTTAACAGGAAAGTGACTGATCTAATACATGACTGACAATTATGGGCTAAGTAATGGAGTAACTGATGTGCTGGAATTTTCTTTGCGACCTGTTTCAAATGATATGTGTCATAACACTAGGGGTCTGACACTGAGTCAGAGGCAGGGATCTGCAGCCCACAGGCCAAATTCAGCCCACTGTCTTTCTGTATGTTCTGCAAGTTAAGAATAGTTTTTATATTTTTAAATAGGAAAAAAACATCAAAAGAAGAATATTTTGTGAGATGTGAAAATTACATGAAATTCAGATTTCATTGTCTATAGATGACATTCTATTGGAACACAGCCATGTTCATTTGTTTACATATTGATTATATGATCACTTTTACACTACAATAGCATCAAAGCTGAGTGGCTGTGACACTGACTGGCCACAACACGGCCTAAAATACTTACTCTCTGGCCTTTTACAAAAAAAGTTTTCTTACTGCTATTTTAGTGTGATCTAGACTAAAAAGGAACTTAACAACTTAAGAAAAGCTTTATCAACTAATTGTTAAAAGCAATGTTAGCAACTTAAGAATGTGACTAAAAATTCCATAAAAGCTGATGAAAATGAAAAAACGGTATTTCAAGCTTGCTTGTGATATCTTTTGTAAAATCTATACTTCCACATTTGCACTAAAGTGTTCAACTAAAGAACATCAGATAAGAACAGATCAAAGGATTTATGTCACAAAATAATGTAATGTGCAACTGCTGAATCTGAGTGGGGAAGCAAACTATTTCTAGGCCTTCTAAATACCTGCTATTTTCTAAGACAGCAGAACTACTATACATGTTATTTAGAGAAAGATGTGTAAATCTGCACCTTTAAATTGTTGTCAAGAACCACTTCTTTAGGGATTCCCAGGTGGAGCAGTGGTAAAGAATTCGCCTGCTAATTCAGTAGATGCAAGAGGCATTACGGACTTCCCTGGCGGCTCAGGCGGTAAAGCGTCTGTCTACCATTAAGGAGACCCGGGTTCGATCCTTGGGTCGGGAAGATCCCCTGGAGAAGGAAATGGCAGCCCACTCCAGTACTCTTGCTTGGAAAATCCCATGGATGGAGGAGCCTGGTGGGCTACAGTCCATGGGGTCGCAAAGAGTCAGATACGACTGAGCGACTCCACCACCACCACCACCACAAGTAAAACTTGGTCAATTAGTTACAATCTTCAAGTACAGAATTAAAATGTTGTATGCTCTCTCCTCTTTCTTTTTAAAATTTATCCTACCCCTGTTTTCTGCCCTTAAACATCTGTCTTAAAATAATATTACTTGCATTTTGATTGAACCATATCAATGTGTAAATCTCATAAGGTAAACAGATTATGTTTTTTCCGCTAACTCCACTGCAATTTCTAAAAGAGGGCCAAGCATGAGGGCTCAATAAATGATTTTGAAAACAACATGCTCTGAAATTGATCCTGTGATGTATGTTATCAACATCAACTGTAAATATTCCAAGTTTGAATTTTACATGCAGAGGCAATGCTTCACAACATCTACCATGCATGGATGCCTATAGATAAAATTAATGCTGTAAGGCCTAACTTCGGTGTTAGAAAAGCAAAAAAAAAAAAACCCACAAAAACTTAAGCTACTTATGCTTAAAAAATCCAAGGTGTGCCCCAACTTCACCATTTCCAGAAGGAACTTAGCATAAAGCAATGTGATTTTTTTTAAGGATAAAGTAATATTACAACAAAAATATTTATAATGCTTACCTCAGTAATCTCAAACAAAAT